AAACGTCAGCCTTCCTGCTCCTCTGATGCTGCTTGGCCTGCTGTGTTCGTCCAGCTCTACACCTTGTTATCTCTATTTTTAGGTACACAGTCTGATTATTCTGAAGTAACAGAGATGTATACTCTTAGTTTCATCAGTCCAAAGAATGTGATGAGATTCTTAAGCACATTTTTCTCAGCAGGCACCACTAGAAGCATTTTAGCCCCTGTTTTACATGCAACTGATGCAATTTGAGAGAGAGAAAAACTGTTACATGGATGATTCAATTATGCTCACTGATCTACTCACTAGAATGAGCAACAAAAACCTGTAATCATACTCTGCTTTCAATCAAACATTCCAAGGTGCTTCACAGGAGCATTAAAGTAAAAATCTATGAGAAGCCACATAAAGAGAGTATCAAAAGCTTGGTCAAGGAACTAGATTTTAAGGAGATTGTTAAGTGGAGGAAAGAGAGGTTATGAGGAGAAAAAGCTTTTAAATGTTAAGGTTCTATACTGATTTGTCAGAGAGTTCTTGGACTGAAAGAGATTAGAGACAGAGAAGGAGAGAGCGCATCTAGGGATTTGGAAACAAAGGTGAGCATTTTAAAATTGAGCCAATGCTTAAACCGGTGCCGAAGCAGGAAAGGGTGACATCTGAACAGGACTTGGTAAGAGTTAGGGCAAGGATAGTAGAATGCTGGATGATGTCAAGTTTATGAAAGATATAATGTGGAAGGGTGGTCAGGACCATGTTGAAGTAATCAAGTCTAAAGATACAAAGGTTTGTCTTCTTGAAGGATTCAGGAAGGAACTTACACTTTTGAAGAAATAAGAGTCATTAACAGTTACTGCGTAACCACTTTCGAAACCAAGACTCAAAGCATTAACAAAAGTAAATTGAGAACAAGATATATAAACATGCCGTTATATTCAAGTTCCAAAATTACTCAGCATTTGATAACAGGAAGTTGCCCTGAAGCTATCAATTAAAGGTTATTGAGGTTGAAAGTTAATATTCATGCCTGGATGGTTTTATTGGACTTAAATGCTTAAACTTTAAATAATTGATGTAAATTTTTTAAAACTGTGGAATTTACGGATCCTTACCAAAATAAGTTAATATAATGTTTTCTTGCTTTCAACGAAATTTTCAAATTATAAATAAATATAGATTTGTTCAAATTTTTGTTTTCTTTTGAAACAATATGTGTTACTCTATACCGATATTCCAACCAGCACCCTACAACTATAACACAGAAACAATCGTGGGATTTATAGAAACATGTCAAATCTGGCCCCGACAGCATAATTATTAATGTTAACATCTCAAATCTCATAGCTGACACTATAAATATTTACTGGAAGGATACATTCTGATCAGGACTTTTTTCTTAAAACGTATTGCTGTTATAGAGTCCTACAGTATGGAGACAGGCCCTTCGACCCAAATGGGTCCATGCCGACCAAAATGTCCAACCATGCTAACCCCATTTCCCTGCACTTGGCCCATATCCTTCTAAACCTTTACTATCCATGTATTCGTTCAAATGCCTTTTAAATGGTGTTAATATACCTGCCTCAACCACTTCCGCTGGCAGCTCATTCCATATGTGTACCACCCAATGTGTAAAAAAAGTTGCCCCTCAGATTCCCATGTATTCTTTCCCCTCTTACCTTATACTGATGCCCTCTAGTCCTGGATTCCCAACCCTGAGAAAAAGACTGAGTGCAATTACCCTATCCATGCCTCTCATGATCTTATACACTTCTATAAGATCACCCCTCATTCTCCCACACTCTAAATAAAAAAACTCTTAGCTTGTCCAAACTCACCCATAACTCAGTCCCTTGCATCCTGGCAACATCCTTGTAAATTCCTTCTGCATTCTTTCCAGTTCAATAACATCCTTCCTATAGCAAGGCGGCCAAAACTGAACACAATACTCCAAGTGCAGCCTCACCAACCTCCTGTACAACTGCAACATAACTTCCTAATTTCTGCACTCAATAGCCTAACCGATGAAAGCCAGTGTGCCAAATGCCTTCTTCACTGCCCCGTCTACCTGTGACTTCACTTTCAGCAAACCATGCACCTGCACTCCAAGGTCCCTCTGTTCCACTACACTCCTTAAGGTCCAACCATTCAACATAAAACTCCTACCTTGATTTGACTTTCCAAAATGCAACACCTCACACTTATCTATATTAAACTCCACTTGCCATTTCTCGGCCCACTTCCCCACCTGATCAAGATCCTGCTGCAATTTCTGATGACCTTCCTCACTGTCCACAATACCTCCTATGTCAGTGTCATCTGCAAACTTACTAATCATGCCTTGTACATTCTCATCTAAATCACTGATATATAGATAACAAACAGCAATGGGCCCCAGAGGCACACCACTAGTCACAGGCCTCCAGTTCAGCAACAAGCATCCTTCCACTAATACTCTCTGCTTCTTACCATCAAGCCAATTGTGTATCCAATTTGCGAACTCTCCCTAAATTCCATGCAATCTAATTTTCCAGAGCAGCCCACCATGTGGAACCTCATCAAAGGCCTTACTGAAATCCATGCAGACTACATCTACTACCCTGCACTTATCAACTATCCTAGCCACTTCTTCAAAGAACTCTAACAAATTTATGAGGCATGATCTCCCACGCATGAAGCTATCGTGATTATTCCTAATTTAAAGCCTGTTCTTTAGAGAGCAAAAAAAAAACAATTCTTTAGAGATGCAACTCTAAAGAGGATGAGGGACAGTGACATAATGCAAAACCTGGGCAACTTAAAATATCTTACCTGACAGTGTAACTTCAGCAGTTGGGTTTTTCTCTTAGACCACCACTTTAACGTAAACTGCAAAGGGTTTTAAATTATGGTGTTCCTCCCCAGTCAGTCTAGAACTAGTGAATTAAGTTTCTAACTGGTTATTTTAGCAGTTTCTCTTATTGTAGTCAAGCATTTATCTTGGCTGTCTTTGCCAAGATTGTTTAAACCTGAGGCGCTGGATGAGGCTGTTTCGACAGTCTCCAGCATCTCCAACTCTTAGCAATAATAAAATGAAAATGTAAATCCAGTGCTATTCATGAACAGAATATATTAGAATTAAATGCAATGTCATACATTGCAGAAATAATGCTACTTACTAGAAATATAACCTTAGTTCCTTAGTCTTTTGTTTCATGCTATCAATAATAACATGGCTCAATTTCAAAAAGTTAATATGTTGGAATTCTAAATGTTAATTCTAAATTGTTTGTTATGGTCTGATTTTAAATACCCAAAATTGGCAGGAAAACACATTTAAACTTACAGTAAAGAGTACAAAGAATTTTTGATTGTTCTCTCCAACACAGTTGTTCACCCAAGGACAATGGTGGTCCATCTTCCGGATGCACCTTTTACAAATACTGATTTTTGGGAAGAAAGAAACAAAGTTATTACACAATTAGGCAAGAAATGTTACACTAATTTTCAAGCAAGCATTTGTTTTCACGTAATCGTACAGCTCAATTATTTTTGAAACACAGGTAATCTTATATTCAGAAAAGTCTGTTACATTATCTGCACCCACAGTCAATTTTCTTTAAAAGCTTATCCCCACTTTGGCGTCTAATGACCGTTACAATTGATTTTCTACACATTATGGATATCATTGATAAAAGGCAAGGGTTTTATGTAAAGATTAAGCTGCTTTTCAAAACACAATTTTGATTACATTTGTAGATGACATCAGTACCAATTCTTAATTTCTGACCTGAGAAATATTTATCAAATCTAAATTAGCAAAAAGGATCACAGGATCATCCAATCAATTCAATGAATTAATTAAAACATAGTACTGCATGAGTTTGTAACAGTTTCGTCATTCAATAAAAATTTATTGTTCACGTGTAAGCTTACAGGTTTTACTTCTAAAACAAACTTCCTTTCTGCAGCTAAGTTGCTATCCTCACTAACCACAGGCCTCACACAAACACTTCTTGAGAGTTCTTTGAGGGTTACATTTTGAGTTTTGGAGCCTAACCTTTGGTTTCTGGGGCTTCCTGTTCCATTCCTACTAACTCTTTTATAAGGCGATGCAGTAATGTAGCAAAACTGCCTTCTCTATTTGTATTGATGTATGGATTATTTAAACTCACACAGAAACAGAATTAGAAGAAATCACCAATATCTTCAATAACTACCGAGCCTCCATTAAAGATAAAGCTGCAACATAAAGAAGATGGATCCATTTCTGAGACCCCACTGTTTTTAAATTGGCACAAAATAATGGGTGAACACCAAATCTCTTCCCCCCACCTCACAAAATAACAGGAACACACCTCCACACATAAAAAGCATCTCTCTAAACACATATCCTACAGACTAATGAGGTCACAGTTAATGACTTTCTATCACAAAGTTGTAACATTTTAACAAGGCAACTGCTATCCTTTTTACTACATCTTGCATCTTAACCCAGACTTAAATTCAAAAATTGATTCAGAGGATAGAATATTCCCAGGCCCTGACTGATGTGAGCAGTTGGGAAAATATCACAAGAATGGAAAAATGAAATTCCCAAATTTGAGAAAGAAAAGTCTGATTTTGTGCATAAGGTTTTAACTGTTAATTAAGAATCTCAACAATGAGAAGCAAGTAGCCTGTTTGTATATGTTAGCACCATATTATTAACCTAATCTCCCCTCATTTAATGCAGTTTGATATCTTCCTAGGCAGTGGAGAGAAACGAGATGGCAACAACTCCTGACATGAAAGTCTGAGTGGATACTTGGCAGCTGCAGGACGACAGCCCCTTCTCTGAGCATCCAGATTAGATAGGGCACTCTCCCTGGGCCGTGCATCCTTTTTCTCTGAGGTTGGCGCAGGGCAAGCTCCAACCTCACTACATCACCATGTCACTACGAAGTTTACCACTTCAGGACTGGACTCTGAAAGCTCACAGATGTTTTTCATTACAATGCTGTTGCCAGGCCACTTTGTGTGCAAGGACAGGCACCCATCTCATGCATTAGAACAGGATACAACTCAGGGCTCTTAACTTGCGTTCTTGGCTCTCATTCACTTTATGCTCATCTGCCTCCTCATTCAGAAATTAAAGGCTCCCAGTAATGCTTTCTTGTGTCTTTTAGACACAAAACCAAACAACTTGTCATGCTTGCCAGCAATGAACAGTGAAGGGAGTTTCTGTACTGCACCTCACTATGTCAATGCCACACCTACAGCATGTGCCAGTAACTATGTAGCAAATACGCTGAATGAGATGTATCTATTAGGTTGAAGCACAAAGGCTAAGGGTTTGTTCCTTGGTCAAGTCGTCAGTCAAGAGTTTCAGCACAATCAAGGGCATCATCCAATATCAGGTCAGGGGTTTGGACACAGTCAGTTGGCTGACTGGAGCCTTCAGGGTCAGGGGATCCATGTCAGCACATTCCAGGGAGTGGGCTATAGTCAATCCCACAGGTCTGGTGCAACGAATCTGAGGATTAATGGTAAGCCTGTTGGGCATTTGTATAGTCATCAGTCTGGGTCTTCAGTCCAAGTTGGTCAGGGGAGGGAGGTGAGCCACAGTAAACCCCAAGGGTGTTTCCACTGAAAGTAAAGTTGGTTTATCAGGGGCCACTATGGGCAATTTGGGAAGATCAATTGTGCGAATTGTAGGCAGCTTGATGGGATGTAGAGGGGGATTAAAAATGGTGAAGAGGACCAAACCGACATACAAGAGTAGGTGATGACACAACATGGGATGGCAGGGTGTACTGTGGGAGAAGGGAGTCACTAATAGTCACCACCACCCTGGATTTGGCATTGAGACACTGAGAACAATGGTTTAAGTAAGCTGTTGGCCTGGGGCTTAGTTAGGGTAAGTAGGGTGTTGGAGAGTTAAAAGGAGAGTTGGGTTGAAAGATGGGAAAAATTAAAGCCAATGGGATGGACAGACAGGACAAAGCAGAATGGAACGTGCATTGCATTAATTAGATACAGTTTCAATACATTTATTCTGGGATGTAAACCTCATGCAGAAACATGCTATGCTGACTAAAAATCCTGGCCAAAAGTAATGTCACTAAGCATTACAAATTAATCCTAGTTAATAATGTGAAGCAGAAATAATGTCAGGTGAGCTGTGAAGTTTCAGCAAAGTTCCACATTCCAAAGCCTTATAGTCTACTCAAAGTTCAGGAGATGCCCACCTCTCACCTTGGACTACAAAGCGTGTACGTAATTTTTTTATGCGTAATGCTGTCTTTTCTGGGTAATATTTGAAGGAAGGGAGGGTACTGGGTTGATGAGCTTCCTTTGCTTCATACAATGCTCTCAATCTCCTACTGTACTTGCGCCCAAATGGTTCGTGGAGCGTACATCTGAATCAGGTCAATGATGTAAAAGGTCCATGTAGTAGGATCTCGTTGCTCTCCCTGTTGTAGGCCTCCATGTCACAATGTTTGGAGGATGATTGTTTGAATGTGACTTGTGTATGCTGTGACTACTGAATGATCATATTAGTGAGGAGCGGCTTCATTTCTGATAGTGCCCACATGGGCTTATGGAGCCATCCTCAGAAGCTATAATCGTCTATGCCCGTTGCCTACAAGCATCCAAAGAAACCGAAGAACACGTGTTTCTGGGAGCCCAGGACCAAGAGTAACTACAGTGGATATGGACCAGCTTATGTCGAGTTTCCAGCCAATGGTGCCCTCATGATGAGATTCAAGTGCTGGAGACCCTTAATCACTCATTTTCCTTGGAATATCAGGCAGATGGAGGGAGAGAGAGGGAAGGAGTGTGTTGTTTTAGTCTGCGTAGAGTTGGCAGTTAAAACACCATATCATTTTGTCCAGAGTATATGCAATGTAACACCTCATCTACTAAGGCGATAAGATGTCTCTTTCACAGAAGGCTCTGACGCTCAGTCAGGTATGGCAGTTCATTGCAGTTCAATTCAGAGGGTGGTGCCTGATTGTTGGATGCTTTGCTCAAAACAAGTGGACGACGTTAACCAAAAAGGTACAGCACCTTCACCACCCTGCAGTGTAGCAGCATTGGCTGTCGAGTCATTTATCACTGCCTGTAGATGTTTTGATGCTGTAAAGGACAACATCCCCTGTTTAATTCCAACCGTGAATGCAGTTTAGTGCATTTTTTTTAAACATGCAAAAGTGAAGGTATCTTAATGTTATAATGTTACAAAGAAGCTTTCACAATGTCTGATACTCCTTCATTCAATCACAACAAAGTTTCATGCTGGTGTGGGTATTTCTTTTGCAACAGATGCCGCCGCCAGACTTCCTCCAGCATTTTCTGTGCTTGTTTCAAATTTCCAGCATCTGCAGTATTATGCTGTTACTTGAGTGGTTCTGGCTCTCCCATCGACTCCCCCACTGCCGCAACTTCCTTTTCTAAACACTCACTACTTCTTCAAACCCAAGCTGTTCCTCTCCTGTATTTAGCAGCGGTAGGCTCAAGATGTGAACATGAAAATTTAGAGTCCTAATTGGGGTGAATAATTAAACAATTAACTCAAGGAGAAAGCTCACAAAGAAACTCATCCTCCAGGGTGCCCAGCAGATCAGTTTAAAAAGCATCTGAATCAATTTTCAGCCAGAAGTGCGAAATTGACAATTCATCCTGGATGCATCCTGTGGTTTTAGCATCACTGATGTCAGTCTTCAGTTAGGTGCATTTGCTCCACACAAGAAAACATTGCATGCACTGGATACAGTAAATGTTATACTTCCTACTAATATCCTTGATATTTATAGTCAGCACCATCCAGGACAAAGCAGGCCACTTGATTGGCATCTCATACACTTTAAACATTCAGACAATTGCAGCAGTGTGTACCACATACAAGATATGCTGCAGCAATCGCCAATGCTCTTTTGGCAGCACCTTCCAAATCTGCGACCTTTATGAGTCAGAACAAGTGAAACAATTGTAAGGGAATGCCACAAGCTGCAAGTTCCCCTCCATGTCTCACAGCATCCTGAATTGGAATTACATCACCATTCTTTCACTGTCTCCAGGTCAAAGCCCTGGAAATTTCCTCCCTCACAGCACTACGGGTGTAACCGCACCACATGTACACCAGCAATTCTAGAAGCCACTTTTGTGCCATTTTCCCCAAGGGTAGGTTAGGATGGATAATAAATGTAGGTCTTGGCAGTGACTCTCACAACCCACAAACAAATATACAAATATTATGCTGGTGAGAGCATCTTAATATTACGGCTAGGTCCAGCAACACTTAAAGTTGTACAGGATGGCAAAGAGGCCAGCGGTCAGACTTCCTATGAAGGACCAGTCAGCAACTTCTCTTCTCATCTTCCAGCTTTGCCACAAGTGCTACCTGTGGTTGAGGACAGCATTCAAAATAGCTGTCTCAGAAAACATCTGATTTTCTTCT